CATATTGACTATAAAATGTCAGTAAGTCATGTTCTGCAAAGGCTCTCTTCAAGGCACCATCATTTGGGATGTCAATTAGTGCCATTTGGAACGTGTCAGGAGCATCGGTGGTATCCGTTCCAAATGGATCTGCAAACAGCTTCAGCTCATTGCTGTGTTCCCTGAAATCTGCAAATCTTTGTTTGCATTCATTCGGCAGACGGGCGATCAGTGCAGAATACTTGTCACGGTTCACAGTCTCAGCACTTCTTATTAATAGTATTGTGAAATGGGTGACATTCTTTTTATTCAACTGTTCCTGAACCAATTCCAGCTTCTGAACGAAGGAGTGGATGTGTTCATACAGTCTGGTGACAAATTGATCCTTCCCTTGTAGTTTTATATTCAAATCTGCAAGAAACTTGGTGATGTCAACTAGGAATGCCTAGTCATTCAGCCATGCATCATCATCCATGAAGCTGACATCTTTTCCTTTGTTCGTCATAAAGGTTTTTAATTTCGTAGAGCAGTGACCAGAATCTGGCTAGTGTGGCTGCCCTGCTGACCCAACGAACTTGGCAGAAGTAAATAACATCATCATGGTCTGACCCTATCTCAGCAAGAAATGCTTGGAACAGTCTATGGTTAAGCCCCTTTGACCTTATGAAACTGACTGTAGAAACAACCTTTTCCATCACACGCTTCATCTCCAGGGCCTTTGCACACAGTGGTTCCTGGTGAATGATGCAGTGCTGCGTGATGACATCCTGAGGCACTGCCTTGACCAGTAAACTGACAGCTCCTTTGTGCTTGCCTATCATCGCAGGGGCTCCATCAGTTGTTAGACCAGAGTTTGTCCTCTGGAAGACTGAATTGCAACAAGACACGTTTCACTTCACTGAAAATGTCCTGTCCCATCGTTTTGCCTTTCATTGAACGCAAGTCGAGCAGTTCCTCATCAACGTGGAAGTGTTTGGTTACTCCTCGTACAAAGATTGCCACTTGAGCTGTATCACTCACCTCTGTGCTTCCATCAACCCCCAAGCTGTAAAACTGACAGGCACTGGGTCTTTTCATCAGTGAATCTTCAATGTTTGATGCCATGTCATCTACTCTTCTAGCAACTGTCTGATGTGAAAGGCTGATTCTCTCCACCATTGACTGTTTGTCAGGGAATACCACAGATGTAAATATGCCCAAGCAATCTTTCACAAATTTTCCCTCTTGTAGCTATTTCCTCGGATGTCAAGAAACTGATCTTGGCTGCTGCCTCAGACTTCTGCTGGGCAGCTCTGAAAAAAGACTGCTGCCCGTTCATGCTGTTTTAGAGAGTTCACCTGATCAATCTAATCTGACCCACCGGGTTGTCAAATTTCTTTGCATGTTTTGTAAGAATAACGTCACTTCACATTGATAGTATTCCTTGCAGACAGCTACTTTCTCTTGGCAAATCAGACACAGGATGTTCCCGTTTTGTTCAGTAGCAAAAAAATCAGCGGTCCAACTATCTTTGAAAACTTGACATTCAGCATCAGTTTTTCATTTCCTCTGATTTGCCATCAGGCGAAGTTAAAAACAACTCACCAGTTCAAAATCACCATTTTATTACTATGTAATAATACTGTGGTATCAATGCAGACCCCCAGCCATCAGGTATAGTCATAATATGTAAGGTACAGCCTGCCATGTGCAGGTGCTGCCATCATATGCCAAGAGCAACCTCAAATGCCTCAGTAACGTCAGGCCCCGGCCCAGTGCCAGGACAGGGAGTCAGGGCAGGACTAGGGCTTTTGTCTCCTGGTGCCAGTCCCAGTGTCTCTGTCTCATGGCTGGGGCAGCCCAGCCATTACTGGGTTTGGGTCCCATATGGGCAGCGCTGTCAGCTGGCACCACAGGCCAGCCAGTTATTATAACCCAAGACAAACACCCCTTTATACCCTCTGTCCTGGGCCAGAGAGACCCTGCCTGTGCAGCCCTGCTGCACCTGCCTGTTACTGCAAGGTTCGTGGTAGCTGCTGGTGGGCAGAGGCAGGAGGGACCCATTCTGCATCCAGCCAGCCACTGCCCCAGAG